TCTCTATTGAACTCTAAACTCAGTGATAAAAACAAATAATCAAAGCCAAGTGAAAGCTAGAAGGCTTATTCAGATTTTCCCTTGATTCCCTAAGGATGACGCCAGCCTAGGTGGGTCCCAGGCGACTGCGTTTTGCTTTGAAGTTGAATCCCATACCTTGAAAAGTCCTGTGTCCTCGAAGCACTCCACCTTAGGTGTGGCAGACACTGCCTTCTGGGACCAGCCTGACACAAGTCTTATGGATAGCCTTTTCTGGGTTAAGGGTTTTCATTTTGCTAGATTCAGTGGGTCTGTGACTCCGATGCCTGCTACAATCCCCCTTGAGATCACTCTGCTCTGTGGAACTGCCTGTTTGACTATCGACGACCTTCTTGGGCACCCGTCCTGCAGCTGGATCGATTTCTCCCAGCGTTGTTCCTGCCCAGTCCTGGCTTCATTCCCCCATCACTCACTTTCACAGCTAAAGTATCAGCATGCCCTTGCAGCAGAAGCCGTATTTGCTCAGGGGAGAACATGATTCTCTCTGAAAGCTACCCGAGACAGGCTTTTAATTCGGACCTATCCCTTATGACGTTAAAAAGGCCCTCAGAAACATCTAATCCAGTTGTAGTAAGGATGCAAAAACACACCTATATTTGCATGGGGACCACCAGGACATCCCTTTTTACACTGTCTAATACAATGTGCTGACTTAAATTTGCATTGTTTTTGATATTGAAAAAGAAGTATAAATGAGCTCCACTCTGCTGTGTTTGGCTGGCAGGAATATCCTGTGCCCTCCTGGTAACCCTCTAAGCCCCTCCTCCATCTATGGAGATATTTGAAAGTGTGTTGAAATTGAGCTGGTGGGGACCTAGTCACCACTATAATATTTCCAGCTTATTGTTGTTTTTAGTATAATGGAAGTTTTATATAACTCAGAAATATATCTCTGTATCTCTCATTGTGCCAGGTACAAAGGCTAATTCACAGTGAAGCTTCCTAAATTGAAATAAATGACTTACATTTGCAGTTTTCTAATACTGCTTGTTGTGTTAGAGATATATTTACTCTGTTTAGAAGGAAGTTTGAAGTGTGTTTTGGGGTGGACTATTATTCACGCTGATGTTCGGGGAATTGCTATTTGCACTCAGTTCTGAGTTGGAAAGTTCATGACTTAGACTGTGCTGCTATTTATCTCCTGTTCAATGACTGATGATCTTGGTCCAATTCCTGGCGCGCGTGTGCTTATTTCTGTAGAGGTTTGGCATTAATAGGTCTTCTCAGCACAGATGCCAAAGAATGACCTGGAATCGACTTTAAATTAATTTTCAAATTTGAAGGTACACCTTCTACATCAGCGTCGAGGCCAACCAGTAGCACCAAGGACTAGACCAGAATTGTCAATGACTGCCTCTCCCCTCTGCCATGATTTGGGGTGTTTATCAAAGCTATCCAGGCCAAGATGCTCAATGCATTCATCAGTTAGAAAAACAAATGACATCTAGGATCTCACCTGACATGTTCCAAGGTTTAAAACACCTATTGTAAAACAGGCATGGAGCCATTTTTTTTTAAAAAAACAATTTCATAAACAGGGTTCCTGATTACAGCCAGAGCCTCCATGTTGCTTAGCTGTTATTTATTTTTTTATTTTTTTATTTTTTTATTTTTTTTGGTTTTTCAAGACAGGGTTTCTCTGTATAGTTTTGGTACCTGTCTTGGATCTTGCTCTGTAGTCCAGGCTGGCCTCAAACTCACAGAGATGTGCTTGCCTCTGCCTCCCAAATGCTGAGATTAAAGGCGTGCGCTGTTACCTTTTGTTCAATGTCGTCTAATTAGCCCCCCCTTCCCTTTTTTGCTGGTTGAACAATCACCAAAGAATAAATAAAATCAAGATAAATCATTAAGGAGATGAAGAACCAAAAATAAAGTGATAAAATTAGATTTTTGTATGCTTAGTTATATGACAAGAAGTATACTGATTTCCTCCCAGTCAATTCAAGAGCTGTTTTCTTCCTTTTTTTTTTGAAATCTGAAATAAAAGCATAGAATACCAGCATTTTCAGAGGCCCTAAAAATGATTGTTTCAACTCTGAATTTCATATTGATTAGGGAAATTCTTGGGCAGGCCTGAACTTTCATAGGTCTTTGCTTTCTAACATCCTTATCTAACTGTTGAAGTAATGGCTGAGACAAAATAATACAGTAATTCTGCTTTCAGATGTATGTATATATTTTAAATTGCCAGGAGAGGCAGTCACATATTTAATTAGCTGTTATTTTATAAAACAAAGGTTGCAATAATGGAGGAAAGGATGAATGAACAGATGGCAGGAGCCTGTGAGAAGTAAAATGAGTTACATATAAGATTTCCTCATCATCATCATTGGTTTTTATTACAATTTCTGCTTCTCTATTATTTGCTTCTTGGAGCTGTGTTCTAGTTTATTGCTAGCCTTTGGAATCTCTGCTAGTTAACTGTCGTGTTCTACCATATAGAAGTCAAGGGGAAAACTACAAAGGAGCCTTGTGGTAAATGAGATTTGGACTCCCCCAGATGTCTTTATCTAGAGGTGCAAACAAAGCTGTTAATGGAAACACTGAAAGTTCTGTGCCTAGATCTTAGCTTCCAGGTATAATGTGGCTCCAACATGGCAAGGGCAGGGAAAATGCCTGCCCTTCAATGCCTGAAATCTAAAAAGCTGAAATTTTAACTCCTGGCGATGAGATTGCTATTGAGACGCATTCTCAAGCAGGGTTCCTTTCTTCAGAATCCCTTTGCAGAAGTCATGCCCTAGAAGGGCTTTCCTCCATTGTCCACCTAGAGCGGAAAATATAACTTCTGTCTAGATTGACTACCCAGGGGACAATTAAGAGTATATTTATTTAAGGCTCGGGTCCAAGTTGGGTGCTTTCAGCGACTGAATTCAGAGACTACACTGACACTTTACCTCAGTGCCCTTAAGGTTGTTTTATCGTTCTTGAAGGTTAATGTCAATTTAAACCTACCGCAAGAACTATGGCTGAAATCAGTGACTTACCCTGATTCAAGTATTGGCACCCCAGGGGCTCAGATTCCACCTCGTTTTTTCTTATCAACCAGCTTCCCAGGATTTCAACATGTGACAGTTGAAAATGTAATATTGGGGTCAGAGAAAAACTGGTCCAGCGCCAAAGCAGAATATCATTAGCATGCTGCCGATACCATCCCGAGGCTCCAGCAGACTGACCTCAGCTCTCGAAGGCGTTGAATAATTTTCAGGCCCAAGGACAGGGTTTGTGTTTGTGGCTTTGAACTTTATGCTTTTATGTCAAATTTAGCTTTGGGGTATATCTTAAGTGCCATGACTAATTACCTTAGTTTCTGAAAAATGTGGGTAAAACCAGGAGACTCTCTCAGCTGCCATTCAATAAAGTGTATTATTAATGTTTTGCATCTCCAAAATGCTTTCATATGCACCGTATCCTCTAATTCTCTTGACAACCCAGGAGGGCAAGCCAGAAGATATTTTTATTCTATTTTACAGATGAAAAAACTGAGAGTTTAAACAGGCTGAAAGGTTTTCCCAGGGATGCTGCAGAGCTGATGTCTGATCTTTTGGCTCCTGGACCAGTGCCCTTTCCATGTGCAGCCCTGGCTGTCGGCAAGAGAAAGACCTTCAGTCAGCCAGCCCATCAGCTAAGTACAAGTACACATAGATTATCCAGAGCCATGCACTAATGACTACATCCACGGCATCCATCATTTTTCTCTTTGTAACTCTGAAATGACTAGGCAAATCATTTTATTTGGTAATTATGTTGAAGAGTGTGTAATGATTATTTCATACATTTTCTTGAAAAATTTGGGTGTAATTGCATTTAATGTTGTGCAGAGGTGTAGTGTAATTTTTAGATATCTTTGTTACGATTATCAGCAGGTTGTTATTTCAGTTGCTTTTAGATAAATGGCATAGGTAATTTTCTCTGTACTCCCTGAATAACTGAGTAAAAACATATACTCAAATGCGATACAGTTTACATGCTGCATTTATTTAAAAAGTCCATTTACTGATCAGAAAGGTCATTCATTTGATATCAATAAAGGAATTGGAAACACGAACAGATCTAGAATGAATAAATAGACGTTTGAAATTAAGAGCTGTGTCAACTACTGATTTTATAATTTGATGGTCTTATATAAAGATATTAAATTTGCTATCAAAGATATCCAAGGCATATTCCAGTTCTGGACCCGGGTGCTTTTACTTTTTGAACATCTCATCTCATCTCTTTTTTGTTTGTTTGTTTGTTTGTTTGTTTGTTTGTTTGTTTGTTTTTTGAGACAGGGTTTCTCTGTGTAGCTTTGGAGCCTGTCCTGGAACTCACTCTGTGGACCAGGCTGGCCTCGAACTCACAGAGATCCGCCTGGCTCTGCCTCCCTCCCGAGTGCTGGGATTAAAGGTGTGCGCCACCTCCGCCCAGCTATCTCATCTCTTTTTATCTGTGCTGTTTCACACCTGGTACAGCATGTGGATTGCTTATACCTTCTCAGCCCACCAGATAGTCTACAACAGCCATGAATAGTTCAAAGTTTGCTCCACTGCTTTCTCTGAAGAAAACACTAACTTCAAAGGTTAGATAGCTCAGCTCTAGAGTTGGATAAATAAACATAGGCCTCTCTTGACTAATGCTGCTTCCTTAATACACTCTTCACCCAAATAAATAATCAATATATATATAATATATAATAAGTATGGAGGACTACTGTGGATATTGTTCTATATAAATAAAACACTGATGGCCAGTGACCAGGCAGGAAGTAGGTTGCCAGGCAGGAAGTAGGTGGGACAGGGAGAGAGGAGAATTCTGGGAAGCGGAAGGCTGAGGGGGAGAGACTGCAGCCACCGCCAGGGCAAGCAGCATGTAAAGACTCTGGTAAGCCACCAGCCACGTGGCAAAGTATAGATTTATAAAAATGGGTTAATTTAAGATAAAAGAACAGTTAGCAAGAAGCCTGCCATGGCCATACAGTTTATAAGTGATATAAGCATCTGAGTGATTATTTTATAAGTGGATTGTGGGACTGCGGGGCTTGGGGAACCTGGAGAGAAGCCCTCCAGCAACAGAGGACATTATAGTGCCTATCCCTACTTCTTTTTATTGGCCATGAGTATTGGAGTTCTTTAATTTTTTTTATAATGTTATATTCTGCTATTTATTTATTTATATATGTGTGTGTGTGTGTGTGTGTGTGTGTGTGTGTGTGTGTGTGTGTGTCTGCGTGTGTATGGAGGTCAGAAGATAATTTACAAAAATCAATTCCCCTATTTTTGGGGATCAAACTCAGGTCATCAGGCTTGGTGGCAAGTGCCTTTACCCAATGAGCCATCTTACTGGCCCTGGAGTTCTTGAGAAATAAAGAAATGCAGAGACATCTAGCAGAAGAAGGCTCTTTGAAAAGTTCACGTGTTGCCTAGTGAGTGTTCGTTATCCAATAAAGTCAGCTAGTAGAGTAGATTAAGCCTGATTCTAAGGCATTTTTCCATATAGACTTGGAATCTATCCATGCAAATGTTGAATCTGTAGCAAAGGAAGATGTATAATTGACCCTCCAGCGGACACCCTGCCTGTTAAGACATGATGGCATTAATACCACAGTTCAGGGTGACTCTCCATTAAGCAGATTTTTATAGGATACATTGGTGACTTAGCTGTCAAGTGAAACACTGAAAGATCCCAAAAGGCGAAAGTTGGCCTTTTCTCATGGATACAGTGGTGTCAGAACTATTAGGACTGTATATACAAATGCATATATAACTTGATGTATATACAAATGCATATATAACTTGATTATATATGAATGCATACATATACATGTTGATGTATAAGTGAATGTGTATATATATTGATGTATATGGATGCATATATATCTTGATGTATATATGAATGTATATATATATGTACACACATCTTGATGTATATATGGCCACACATATATGTACACACATCTTGATGTATATATGAACACACATATATGTACATACATCTTGATGTATATATGGATATATATACACATATATATCTTGATGTATATATGGCTGCATATATATGTGTATTTATACATATTTATACACACATACCCACACAACATGCAAACACACACACACACACACACACACACACACACACACACACACACACCACCTTTTTCTTTAAAAACACAATGGAGGTGGAAGGCCCCACTGGGACTTGAACCTAGGATCTCTTGTTTATTAGATGTATACTTTTGCTGCTGAGACACAAGATCTCTCTTTTCTATATTTATTTTGAATATTAGAAATCTAGTCTCAGCATATGTACCCTCAATTTAACAGTATCATTCAACATTAATAATGTCCCCAAATAATCTAAAGCCAATGAATTTTAGCATAAAATATGCAGATGCTGCTGGGTGGCACACATGCTTATCCAGCACTTAGGAGGCAGAACAGAAGGATGGAGTCACATTGGAGGCCAGTGTGGTCTACATAGCAAGATCTAGGCTAGCCAGGGCAATGTAATGAGACCCTATCTATCTCCAAAAAAATAACAACAAAACGATATTAGCCATTTTATTTCTTCTTTGGAGAATTCTCTGTTCAAATTCAAAACCTATTTATAAATTGGGTCACTTGTTTCCTTGACTCGTGGTTTTCTGAGTTCTTTATATATTCTAGATATTAATCCCTTTTCACATCATTGCTGGTAAAAGCTCTCTTTCACTCTGTATGTAGGTTTCTTCTTCACTTGATTGGATTGATTGTTTCTTCAGCTGTACAGAAGCCTTTTAGGTTTATGAGATCATTCTTGTCAGTTGTTGGCCTTAATTCTTGGGTGAATGGAGTCCTGTTCAGAAAGCCTTTTCCTTTACCTATATGCTATACGGCACTGCCTACTTTTTCTTCTAGCAGTTTTAGCATTTAGGTTTCACACTGAGGTGTTTGATCTATTTTGAGTTGATCTTTGTGCAGGGTGATAAATAAGTATCTAATTTCATTCTTCTATATGGGAATATACAGTTTTCTCAGCTCCATCTGTTAAAGATTGTCTTTTCTCCAGTGTATATTTTTGAACTCTTTGTCAAATATTAGATGAGTATAGTCACATACAGACATATTTGATCTTCTATTTTATTACATTTATTTCCATGTGTGTTTTGTGCTGGTACTATGATTTTTTTTTATTAATATTGCTCTGTAATATGTCTTGAAATCTGGAATGGTAACACCTCCTCTCCCACCCCCTTAGTGTTCTTTTTTTTTTCTCATGATTGCTTTAGTTATCCAGGGTCTCTCTCTCTTGTGTTCTCATCCAATATTGTTTTTCTATTTATGTGGAGAATAGTGTGAGGATTGTGATTGAAATTTTATTGAATCTGTACAATGCTTTCAGTGGAATGGTCATCTTTTAAATATTTTAGGAGATCTTTAAGTCCTCAATATCTTCCTTCAGGGGTTTAAAGTTTTCATTGTAGAGGTCTATTGGTGAAATTATTAAGGCCACTCCACATAGTTAAAAGGAAGATTTATTTAGTGAGTGACTTACAAATGAAGGGATAGGTAGATTGCAGGGGTCTGGGGAAGGTGTATTGCAGTCCAGCAGTGTTCTCTGGAGCTCTGCTCAGTCAACCTCCTTGGTCAGATTTATTCACATTTTAATTTTCTTTGAGGCTACCATGAATGGGAGTGTGCCCACAAGTTCTTTCTCCCCTTGTTCCTTGTTCCTTGTGTAGAAATGATATTAATTTCTGTATGTTTGGTTTGTATTCTGCACCTTTGCCAAAACTGCTGATAATTTCTAGAAGTTTTCTGGTGGAACTTTTGCCCTCTCTTATATATAGTATCATATTATTTGTGAATAGGGATAGTTTGACTTCTTTTTTTTTTCCCTACTTGAGTCTTTTTAATTTCCTTCTCTTACCTTATTGTTCCAGCTAGTACTTTGAATACTAGATTGAAAAGGAGTGGCGGTAGCAGGCCCATCTCATTCCTGATTTTAGATAGATTTAAAATTTTTTTTTTTCCACTTTGGATAATGTTGGCTGTGGGTTTGTCCCATGTAGCCTTCATTATGTTGAAGTATGTGCCCTCAGGTCCCACTCTCTCTGGGACTTTTATAATAAAGGCCTGTTGGATTTTGTCAAAGACTTTTTTGTATCTATTGAGATGATAGTGTGACTTTTATCTTTTAGCTCCTGCATATGATTTATTTATTATATTTATTGGCTTGCATATGTTGAACCATGTCTGCATCTCCACAATAAAGTCAACTTGATCATGGTAGAGGATATTTTTGATCGATGCCTATATTTTTGCAAATATTTTTATTGAGGATTTTTGCATTTATGAATTCATCATGGATATTTGTCTGTAGCTTTGGCTTTTGTTGTTGTGTTTTTAATTGGTTCTGGTATTAGAGTTATACTGGCTTCATAGAAGGAGTTTGGGAGTGCTTTTTCACTTTCTTGTTGTGGAATATTCCTTTACACTGTGTGAAGACATGTCACTGTGATTGGTTTAATAAAAAAAGCTAAATGGCCAATAGCTAGGCAGCGTTTACTGCTGAGAAGATGAAGGGCAGAATCGCCAGCTGGATGAAGAGGAAACAGGATGGGGAGTTCAGAGTAAAGATAACCAAGCCACAGAAAAGAACACAAATTAAAAGATAGGTGTTAGTTTAAGTTATAAGAACTAGTTAGAAACAAGCCTAAGCTATCAGTCGAGCTTTCATAATTAATAATCTCCATGATATTATTTGTGAGCTGGCATCCCCAAAAGAAATGTCTGTCTACACTTTCTCCTTTTTGAAAATAATTTAAGAAATATTTGCTTTTAGATCTTCTTCAAAGGTCTGGTAGAATTCTGCCATGAATCCATTGGGGCCTAGACTTGTTTTAGTTTTTTTCTCCCCCTACTATTTCAATCTCCTTACTTGTTATGGGTCTGCTTAGGTTGTTGATCTCTTTTTGGTTTAACTTTGGTGGTTTGGATGAATCTAGGAATTCATCCATTTCTTTCAGATTTTCCAACCTAATCTAGTATAGGCTTTTAAAGAATCCCTGAGAAATTTCCTCTGTGTCTGATGCAGTAGTCCCCTGTTTATTGCTGATGTGTCAATATGGGTTATCTTTTCTCTTTTAGATAGTTGGGCCAAGGATCTTTTGATTTTGTTTATCTTCCCTTATATTTATCCCAGATAAGTTGTGAGCCTCACCTTTAATGCCTGCACTATCTCTCCAGGCCTTGTTTATCTTCACAAAGAACCAGCTCTTAGATTCATTCTCTCAGGCTTGAGAAACCTCCTTTTGCATTGTTGGTCAGGGGAACCCAAGAGGCTCTAAAAAAAAAAGTAGGCTACTACCTTTGCCCTTGCTTGCCTCCCAGAAGTTGAAAGGAAGCTCATATTGCTCAGTTGCAACCTATTTTTGCCACAGGACCCAGACGCCTTGGGCTGGGTTTGACCCAAACCCTCCTCCCTGAGAGCTAAATTTAATTGTACTAGAAGATGTTTTGCAAACTGCCAAAGGAGGAAAGCAATCAATAGTTCTACTCAGCTGTGGTGTCTCTGAACCACAACAATGGCCAGCATGGCAGGATATTCCAAGAGGTGCAGTGGTAGCCCTTCTGTCTTGGTGGTAGTTAACAGTTGTCTGAGTAGACTTAGAGCCAAATCAACAGTATGGATTGCCTGGTACAGTAAACCTAACTAACTACCCATGGCTAGTAAAGTCATAGATCTTAAAGGAGAATGTACTGCTGCCACTTTCCTAAACCAGCATAATTCATAATGGCACCCTAAATACTTACCCTTAGACCTCTAGACTAGTGTAGCTCTCACTCTTTATCAAAGAAGCTTCTTTTTTTGCCACGTATGGGTACCATTCCAGGAAGCCATAAACGGTCCAAATGAACAGAACAAGTGACTGCGAGGTGTCCAGCCTCCACGGAGACACCCACAATGCAACAGAACCTCAAAGAAGAAGGATGGAAAGACAGTAAAAGCCAGAGAACCAGGAAAGTCTGCTGTAAGAGCGTGTGTTCCAGTTATGACAGAGAAGCTGCAGTCCTGAAATCTCAGTAATATGGCCGCTCAAACAAGACGTGACAACTGTTCATGTTGATGTGCCCGTGGGGACGGGGAAAATCTCACAGAGATGAAGACCTCCAAGTGTTTTGAGAGAGGGAGGATTAATTTTCCCCAGAGAGGAGCCCCTTAATTGATTATCCAATCTCTCAAGTGTCAGTCCTAAACACACACACACACACACACACACACACACACACACACACACACACACATAAAACACTAAATGGACACAGCAGGTTGGATTTATATTTATTTGCATATATGTAACAATAATAATTAAAGAGTAAGAAGCCATAAATTTGAAAGGGAGGGGGCATGGGCAGGATAGAAGGAGGATGGGGGAGAAATTAT